ATGGGCAGATGAGAACAACGTGTTCCAATGGCCACAAAGGTGGTTGTAGCAGGTACTATAGAGCATTTAAAACTTGGTCAGACATCAAAGTTGCATCCCAGGCCATTGCCAGCTGTCTTGACTTTTGTCCCGCTTCTGGACTTCATTGATTCTGGAAGAATGAGGCTGATAGCTCTGTGCAACTCTGCCTCACTTAAATCCAATTCATTTCTAAGTCAAGTCATCACTTGTAATGCCCCTGGTCCCCTTCAAAAACAAAGGACAAACAACCTAATCTCTGCTGGCCTCAGTTTCCTCATCTGTAAATAGGGATAATGATAGCACCTACCTTGCAGGGTTGTTGTGAGGATCAAAGATGACTGTAAAGCACTCAGCACAGTGCCTGGCACATAGTAAGGGTTATATGTCATCTATTATTTTTACTCACCTTGCCTTCCCTGTCACCTATGTGTTACTGCTCATCAACTACAAATAGGGCACAGAAACATATCTTGTTTCTTACTTCTTTCTGCTCTAGCCACATAGGCCATGTAGCACACCCTACAATACTTCCCACACTATAATAGTACTATCAGGATAAATCAATCCAAGTCCAACAACGGTTAACTGCTAAATTTATATGAATAAGTCGTTTATTCAGCAGTTACAGCAAAAATAAAGTAATTTGGCCGACAAATCAGGGGACTCTCACATGTCAAATGCCAGTAAGTCATGTCCAAAATGGTGCTGTCCTCTAACAATCTATGAATCTACTACAGCAACATATATGGTAATTTAGGGATCTTTCATAGTCACACAGCTAGTGAATAGAAGAGGTAGGACTTCAATCCAGCTTTGACTCAAATTCAGTGTATCTTCTATTACACCACATTGCCTCTGAGTCACAAATTTACTATTACCAATAAAATGTAAAGTTAAGAGCTTGCTACTTGAAAGCTCCCACACCCTGGATTACTTGGCAAATTATAGTTAATAAAAGCTTAATGAATATTTTGTTCCTAACAAAATGCAGTTCCAACTGAAAAAGGAGCTGCGTTAATATCATGAATCTTATTGTTTCACACTGGCAGTTCATAAGTTGAGGTGACGGACTTGGAATCAGGACACTTACCAGTTATGTGACAATGGACAAGTCACTTTATCTCTGGTTCTCAGTTGCCTTATTTGTAAAAATGGGCAATGTTTTATTTCCCATCTCACAAAGTTGGGAGGCTCAAATAAGATAACATGTGTAAAGCACTTGACAAACTTTATTCATCGCCATCATTACTATCACTTGAGCTGCATTTTAGTGAGCAAATTAATTCTTTGTAAAGTGTTTTTTATTACTGGTTGTAATCCAAAGGTTTATTTTTAGTCCTCCCACTCAACTTAAGAGCAAAGGAGGGTGGTCCTTTTCCATCTTTTTAGTCACAGTGAATTGGTGCACTGTAGGTGCTTAAAACATTAAGTCCTCTCAAGCTTTTCAGAAGCATCAACTTGATGTATGAGCATCTTGCCTTTTATCAATAGTCCTAAGAATCATGAGTATCACTAAAAAACAATCTCCTCATCGTAAAGAGCTAAGGCCTAGAGAATAGAAATTACTGAGTACACAGCTAACTAGAAACTGAAATCATACTGGAATCCAGAACTCAACTACCAGCTCAGTGTTCTCACTAAGCAGCATTTTGATGGCCTTAAGCTATAAAAGGCACTTTATCCACAAGCCTGTGAGGCAGGCTACGTAAGCAATAGTCACAGTTGAAGAAGCTGAACCTCAGGGTCATCTTCCTCACAGTCAAAGACAGCGTCAGAGTCAGGATTTGAACTTCGCCTTCCCAAGTTCAGATCCAATGTTCTTTTCACCACGCCATTGTCTCCCTCTCTAAGTTACTATGCATGACCATGTGAAACTCAGTACTATTTAGTTTCTCTAAAAACAAAACAAAACAAAAAAAAAACTTCCTAAAAAATGCAAACCCTAATTTGGACTGACTCTCCAAACTAACAATTTGATTACCGTGCACAAAACAAAAACCACTGGAAGTGGAAGAATGAATGCATTAGTAGTAGAGGTCCAACTAATCCAAATAAGAGATCAAGAGATAGTTTATGACACAAAGCTCTCCTGTAACGGAAAATGACAAATGAAAGGTAGATGCCAGAGGTTTGGGGTTTTTTGGGAGACTATTGTGATTAAGTTACTTGCTCAGGGTCACAGAACTACTTAAGAGTCTCAGGCTGGGTTTTAACTCAGGTCCTCCTGATTCCTGAGCCAGTGCTCCATCCACTGCACCACCTAGCTGTTCCAGTGCCATAGGTTTTTTTTTTTTTTTAAACTCCATGGAAGTAGTTAAAAGGACCCAAAACCCCTGACCTCCTCCCCTATTCCCTAAAAAAAAACCTTTGGGACTGAATAAAAATGCAAAGAAAGAATACTCTAATTGTTTTAGACATCAAGTAGCTGTGGGAAAGATAAGGAAGGAAAAAACCCAAACATGTGAAGATAAGTCAGGGGCCATCTCTGGCACATTTTGAGGAACCTTATTCCCAACAATGGAAGAGGAAAAACAAAACAAAACAAAACATCAGAGACATTAGATCCTGCAACCACTGATAAAAGTGTAATCGTTGATAAACTGGTAAACTACCTAGCAAAAAAGCTTCAAGAGGGTATGTAAGGAATATGATCAGGGCAAAACAGGAAGATACTAACATCACCAGGAAAGTTTCAGGAAAAGCCCTAAAACTACCACCTCAAAAGTTTAGGTCAGACTGCCCTTTGGATCCAACTGCATTTGGAAATATTATAATCCATATAACAAGATCTGCAAAATAGAAATCCCCACCAAATAAAATGTCAAAACATCCTGGAAGGCCTAGCAGCAGGAAAACAGAAGTTAAATAACACTTGCTATGAAGCACAATAAACTAAACCAGAATGTCTAGCACTATGGGATAGTTAGTCCCAAAGGAAAAATGTTACAAATGGACTCAGTCAAGCTATGTTACATCAGTGTGGTTTGGTTACAACATAGTCATTGAAGCTACTGTGCCAACTTTACATAGGTACATCTGTAATTATGATATATTCTAGCTTTCAGAGCTAAATTTTAGGGAGTTAAAGCTAAGTTAGACAAGCACATGAAAATATAGGTTAAAAAAAAAAACCCAATCCCTCAGAACAAAAAACTTGTCTTAGGTACATTACCTGTGGTTTGTGGTTAATTGAACTGTTGCTCCTTTTCTAGCCTATTACACAGTTGGTATTTTTCCCTGCAATTTATCAAAATATTTCCCAAGGGTTATATTCTGTATCTTGCAGATTATGCGTCAAGTTTTTTTGGATACATCCTTGCTACCAGGGCAAGAAGAGGGATTTGGGAAGCACTGATTTGCCCATCAGTCTGTCATACAGATTTATATCTTTTATCAGTCACCAGTTAAAAATAAGCTAAGACTCCATGGGCTTCATGGCTATTTTACTAGCCCTGGAAGCTACCTTGAAAATGCTTCCATTGATTACAACAGAAACTGTAGAAGATACTTTGACTGAATGAGAAACAATTCATGAGGGGAGATTACAGTATTTTGAAGGCATTTTAGAAATCAAATCCAACCCCATCACTTTACACATAAAGAAATAAGAGGCCTAGAAAGTGAATTGGCCCCCAAACCAAACTGCTACATAGTAGCAGAGCTGGCATTTGAATCCAACCCCTTTCTACTACCCAATACCTGCCTCCATTACTAGAAAAATTTCAAGAGAGATATCTTAAACTAATAGTAATAGCTAACACTTACATAGTGCTTACTTTAAGCCAGGCACTGAATAAAGGCTTAAAATTACCTCAGCTGGTCCTCAAGCAACCCTATGAGATACATGCTATTATTCCCATTTACAGATAAGGAAACTGAGGCCAACAGCCCTAAAAGTGACTTGCCCAGGGTCACACAGTTATCAAGCTTCTGAGGTCAGATTTTAACTCAGTGTTCGGACTCCAGGCCTGCTGCTCTATTCACTGAGCCACCTAACTGCCCTCAAGCAGGTCCAGTCCCTTCATTTTTGTATAGTAAGTGGACGATATATTACCTCAGACCATAATTTTATTGCCTCACCCCTCAACTTCCCCAAGCTGCAAAAGGAGAAAAGCCCTACTGTTGTTGAAGATTTGGCAAAAATTAGAAGACTGAAATTTGTAGTTTTGGAAGGAATACATATTTTGATATTTTCCTTAGCAATTTCACACTGCTGCTTGTTCTAGAGTCAGACAAAGAAATGCAACAAGAGCACCAATGTATGCTGCTACTACAGGGGAAAAATATAAACTGGAGAAGCAGAAAATTTTTTAAAAAAGCAAACATTCCACATTACATTTAGCTAGCCTCAATCTGAATTATACCCAGACTGTGCAGACAGCAGAGCCCTGTTATAATGTAATCCACTACATCACTGCACCACAAACCCAAGACTCCCCTCCTCCCAAAAAGGTTAACTGGATGCAATGTTAATTTCGTCCCTGAACACCATCCTCACAAGGGTTATGTTAAGGAAAAAAAATGCATCATGGTTACATATTTATTGAAATCAAAACAACAGGAACTCTTTCAAGAAGACTTTTCAGGATGTTCTGACATTTCAACTGGGTGGGATTTCTATTGTGCAGACTGTTTTATGTACTACAATAAAAGAAAAAGCCTCTCTAATTTTTCAAGTAATCTCAAATGAGGGCTCATTTAACTGCTATCGACTTGCCACTCTAATTGCAAAACACTGCTAGACTGCTATTGTCAGTGTTAAGATCAGAACTTAAGTTACAAAACCATGAAAGAAGCAGCCTATTCAATTCTCCTTCGAGATAAGTGCATGCTGCAGCTGACAGCTGCTCTCTCGGTCACCCTTCGGGAGATCATCTCACTCTGAAGGGACCATTTTAACAAACGGATAGGCTTGGAAAGCATGGGCCAGGACACATGCAAGGGGGCAGGGTGGTGGCTGCTCTAGCTCATTCTCTCACCTGTTGATGAAACCATAGCCGTTTCTTACATTGAACCATTTTACTGTTCCCAAAACCTTCGTTGCTGGGAGAAAAAAAGAAGGAATCCAAGGTTACAAAAAAATTTCCGGAACCCCGCCGAGGCTGGACCCCCACACTCCCACCCGAGCCCACCGCCCTCCCCGCAGGCTTCGGGGGTGCCCGGGGAGAAGGGGGGCGAGAGAGGGCCCGGGGGCAAGGCAGCGACCGCGGCGCGGGCGAGAAGAGGGAGGCGCCCGGGCGGCCGCCGGGAAGACCGCAGGATCCATGGGAGCACGTGAGGGGAAGGCGCGCGGCAGCCCCCGCCCGGCCTTCGGAGGCAGGCGGCGGGAGGGGCGGGCACCGCGCCCTCGGTCTCCACGCGGAAGGGAGGGAGTGCGTGCAGGAAGGGGAGGGGACCCACACAACGGCGCTCGCACGCTCGCCCGTGGGGCGCGTGGCCGCCCGGGAGGGCCCGAAGCCGGGAAACCGTTACACACGCGGCGGGCAGCCCGCGGGAGGAGGGAGGCAGGGGGCCGGCGTGTGGGCGCGCGGCGGCGGCGGCGCGCGGGGGTCCATAGGGGGCGCGGGAGGCGGCGCGCGGGCCCGTCGCCCTGGGCACGAGGACACTCGGCCGGCGCGCGCAGAGGGGAGGGAGGGGAAGGGAAGGAGGAGGAGGAGGAGGAGATGAGGGCGGCGGCAGCGCGCGGAATCCATGCCGCGCGCCGCACCCCCCTCGGCTAACGGTCCCCCCACCGCCCCCCGGGCCCCGGCTCGGCCCGGCCCAGGCCCTGCCCCTCACCGATGACCTTCTTGTCCCCGCCGGCGGGCGCCGCCGATGTGAGGCCGCCGGGACCGCCGCTCCCTCCGCCGCTGCCGGTGATGCCGGGCTTGGTATCGGCGGTGCTGAGGGCGGGGGCGGCGGGGGGGGCGGCGGGCGGCTGCTGGGTCTCGGCCTCGCTGCTCATTGTTGCGGTGATGGTGACTAGGGCCTGCTGCGGCAGCGGCGGCTCCTCCCGGGGTGTGATGGTGACTAGGCCGGCGGCGGCGGTGGGGCTGCTCTCAGGGCTCTCTGGGGTCCGCTCTCCGCTCCCGCTACCGATCGAACTAGCGAGAATGGCGGGACGGGCGGGATAAGCCCTCCGAGCGACCCGCCTTATGCTCCGCTCATTGGCTCAAAATGCCATCAATCCGCCGCCTGACAAGAAGTGCTAGCTCTCATTGGCTGGGGGCGCATCACTCCCCCGCTCTCATTGGCTCTTGGAAGAGTAATTTGTCCGACTTACTAGCAATTCCAGCCTCCGCCGCCGCCACCGAGACCGGAACTAGAACTAGAGTGAAGCCACTGCTGAACCATAGAGTACCCGAGAGGGCGGGCAGAAGGAACGTGACTTGGAGCCCACTGTAGTGTGAGCCCAGCCCCGGTCCCAAGCGAGCTGGGGCGAGGTTGGCTCACTGGGCCGGGATAGAGCGCTCGAGTTCGACTAGGGCAAAGAGGAGAGGCTTGCCCCAGGTTCACGCCCCACCCTTCCCGGAAGTGTGTGTGTAGGGGGGGGTGAAATTGGCTAAGTGACACCTTGGCCGTCTCTGCCTCCGAAATCCACATGGCTCCACACCGGTTGCGGGCCCCCCTGGGGCCCCCGAGTGTGGATCTAATTTTTTTCTTTTCTGATTCAGGCATTTATCTTGTTATACGAACGAGGGGTCGTGCTAGACACTGAAACCTTTCCTATCCAGTGTCAGGCAGCAATTTTCCTTCTTTAATTGTATTATAGAAATACTCAAACATAGATAGGGATCGACGTCGTCGGGGAGAATACCTACGACGAACTTAATGTTTGAAAATGGCCAAAATGAAGGGGAAGAAGATTGCCTTCTTCACAGCCGTCACGTGGAGGAACGGGATTTATTTTGCCTAGCCCAGCAGGGCAGGAGGGTGGAAGGTGCAGTGGCAGACTTAAGGGGACAATTTCCTAATAATCAATGATCCAGCCGATGAAAGGGCTGCCCCTTGTGGTCGTGGGCTCGGCCACACTGGGGCTCAAGTACGTTGTAGACAGCATAGTGGATCTTCTCTTTCAGGTGCTTGTAGAAAGCCCTCAACCCTAATTGTCATTGGCCCCAAAACTGGTGAATGGGGAGGGGGGGCGTGGCAGGGCAAAGCCGTTTTTGTTCACGCACAAGGTGTGCCCACAGAGGGAGAAAGATTTTTGTCTGGTTCAAAAACTGGTCCCCAAGGCAATTCTTTGAGCTCCAAACTGGTTTTGAACAAGGGAAGCCTTGTTGGACTAAGCACACATCACCAAAGTAATGCTTTGAAGGCCAATTTAGTTGCAAATGGCCTAGTGGCTTAAATCTAGCTCCTACTTCTTGGAAATAGGAGTCCAAAGACTCACCAAGAGGCATGGTTAGCCACTGCAGGTGCTACTGGTGGAATGGATAAAAAGTAAGCAGGCTCCTTGCTCCAGTAAAGTCTGGAAGGGCAGATTTAAAGTGGGGTGGTAAGGGCCTTCTGACTACCCAAGTTCTGTCACTCAGCCACTGGTAGTTTGGTGAGTTACTATACCCCAAGTAAAGCAGGAGCCTCACTAACGCATAAGTTCTGACTTAGTTCTTTTATTGCAGACTGATGCTGCCAAGGCCTTCCAAAGTATTCTAGCTAGTTTTCACTCTATCACCTGCAACTTCTTTACTCAGACCTGGCCCTTTCCCTTGGTGGTCCTAAAGGGAACCATACAGAGAGTTCTCTCTCTTTTCCCTGGAGGACAACTGCAGATTTGACACAACTTCTTAAAACCCTAAGCCTGCCACCTTCCTTTGGAATTCATCCCTTTCTTGAATTCTCTATTATTCTCCCTTATCTAAAAGATGAAACAAGAGAAAAGCAGAAGGAATAGAATAAAACTGAAAACCTTCTGCCAGGAACACACATTTTTACCAGCTGTTCTTCTTCCTCAGTTCAGCTACGTTCCATAGCTATGTGCAGCATTGCCTAGGAAAGAAAGACAAAGACGCTGGCCAGGAGGTGAAACCAGTCATCCCGGCAAGTCCAGCTTAGCCTGAGTAAATAGACTGAGGCTCCCCTTAGATATAGCAAAAAAAAAAAAAAAAAAAGACAACCAAAACACAAACTTTATTTACATTTGAAAACTTAAAAATAAAAGGCTCAGGGTCCTGAATCCATGATAGGTCCTATCTCTTGATCACAAAGGCAGGCAGTAACCAAGGAAGCAAGGTGGGAGGCCAACCCATCTTCTCAGAAGCATCACCCAGGGCAAAAGGAAGCCTAAAACAAGAGAAACAAGGACTTCTGTGGGGGCCAATGGAAGGAAACAACTCTGAACAGTGGGATGAACCTGGCCAGCACTGAGGTTTGTGCCCACGTGAAGTGGTATAATAGAATGTTGACCTTGGGAGTCAGAAGAACAAGGCTCAATCCTGGCCCTGCTGCTAAGTCACAATGGGCCTCTGGCCAAATCAAAATTTCCTAAATTTAGTTTCTTCAGCTGTAAAATGGGGACACCACTATTTGCAGTGGGTGACGAAACAGGATAATGCATGTTGTTGGAGTCGGACTGTTATTAACAGCTATTATCTGGCACCTCTCAATGGCCTGCCTGAGTAGGGGAAATAAATAATAGAAAGTAGGAGAAGTATTCCTGCCAGAAGGAAATCCTAGAGTTAGGCAGAGCTTAGGATAAGAACTTCAGTAAACTTTAGCAAAAAGCCCTAGGACTGGAGTCAGAGTTAGATCCTGTGGGAGGGGCAGGAAAAGAGAAAGGAATGGCCCCACCCTTCCCTTCCACCTGGGGGTGGCCATGTACCCTGCTATTGCTCAATCAAGGCAGATGGCCTGAATCAGTTCCTTCTCACCTCCACACAACTTCTAGTGCTCTGGAATAACCCTGGAGTTTCAGGTTTGAATTCTGGGCCATAAAGTGGCCCTTTAGCCTTTGTAAAATGCACAACAAACATCTCTTGCCCCACTGTAATGGCTATTTACACTGCAGGCAGTATCTTGGGTGGGGCTGGCTGGATCTGGGGCACAGGCTAGGCCTGACTGCCTCAGGATCCAAATCCCTGGCGCTTGCTTCAGAATTTTGAAAATATTTGTTGACTTTGAACTGGATAATGCCTAAAGTGAGGTCAGGCTAAGCCCTCTTGTATCCTATTCCACCCAGCAGGCCTGGCCTGAACACAAAATAACCTCTGGGAATAGACCCTTGACTCAGGGTTTCAAATAAACCAGGGCTTACTATGTGGCAGTATAGTTTAATACGAAGAATATTCTGCTCCAGCAGTCGGGAGACCTAGATTCAAATCTTGTCCCCCATTAACTATATGGCCTTGGAAAAGTCATTGCCTGTTTCTGGGCTTCAGTTTACCCATTTGCACAACAAAGGATAGGACCTTTCTTCCTGTTCTTAACATTTTAGAATTCTACATGGAACAAACAAGTATTTGTTGAACAAATGCCCAACCTCCAATGTGCCCTGGATGGATATTTTCACATGAAACCCCCACCACCCCAGGCCCTATATCCACCTTCACATTCTAAGTAGTAGGAGGCAGGTGCAGAAAGGTAAATAAATGGAAGGGAATCTGTCCAGACTGGCAGCATTGGGGAACGCTCCATCATCCCAAAGGCTGTTTCTCTTCTTGTTCTTCCAGTCCCTCAAAACAAGGTGCTGCAGGCAAGAGTTCTGTTCTGGGAGCAACTCAGGATGCCAACTGAAAGCAGCCAGAAGCTCCGTGCCTCTGGCAAGCTTTTTCATTCTTGGAAAAATAAGGGATTCCTTCCCTCAGTAAACTGCCCTGTGACAGGCCCAAGGGCTCTGACCTGCTAAGTCTTGCAGGTCCACACCTTTATAATGACCCTGAGATAGATGAGCTCTAACTTTAAGAACTGTCAAAGGCCCAAGTGTGGAACAATTAGGCTATGATAGACATCCAGGATCTGGAGAAAAAGTATCTGAGAGATCATCTATTCCCAGCCCCTGCTTTTGACACAGGAAGAAGCTGAGTCCTATAGAGGGGAAGGGACTTGCTTTGTAGAAGTCTTTACCAAGTGGAAGCAGCACTGGACTTGAAGTTCCAAACTCACTTTAACATTTACTAGTTCTTCGATCATGGGTCAGTCATTTAGCCTCACTCAGAACTTCAGTTTCTTTATCTGTAAAATGGGCCAAATACTTGTAAAACTTAGCAGGGCCACTGTGACACTCAAATATGATAATGTATGTGAAGTACATATATCAGTGTCAGCCACTATATTGCCCAAGGTCTCCCTGTCCCTTCATGGCCCAACTCAGGTCAGTCAATAAGCATTTATTAAGTGCCTGTGCTTAGTAAGCACCATGCTAAGCTCTAGGGATACAAAGAAAGGCAAAAGACAGTACCCCCGCCCTCAAAGAGTTTACAGTGTAATGGGGGAGACAAGCAGCAAACAAATTATGTACAAAGAAGCTAGATACAAGAATAAATGGGAAATATGTGAGAAGGCACCAAAAATAAGAGGGGTTCAGAAAAGCTTCCTGTAGAAGTTGAGATTTTAGCTGGAGCTCAGAAGAAGCCAGGGAAGGCGGTAGGTGGACACAAGGAGGGAGAGCATTCCAGGCATAGAGAAAATGCCCAGAGCTAAGAGATGGAGTGTCCTGTTTGAGGAATAGCCAGGAGGCCAATGTCACTGGTCTGAAGAATACATGTTGGGATGTGTAAGATATAAGAAGACTGGAAAAATGCAGGGAGGGCTAGGTTAGGAAGGACTTTGAATACCAGAGGATTTGATCTTAGAGAAGACAGGGAGTCACTGGAGTTTTATGGAGTATGAAGGTCACATGATCGGATCTAAGCTTTAGGAAAATCACATTAGTTAGTGGCTGAATGGAGGATGGATTGTCGTGGGAAGAAACTTGAGGTAGTCAGACCCTTCAGCAGCTACGGCAGTAGTCCAGGTGAGTTGATAAAGGCCTGCACTAGAAGGGGTGGCAGTGTCAGAGGACAGAAAAAGAGGCATGTTCAAAGAGAGGTTGCAAAGGTGAAATCCAGAAGCCTTGGAAACAGCTTGGATATGGCAGGGGAGGAGGGGTGTCACAGATAGTGAGGAGTCCAGGAAAACCCCTAGCTTGGAAGTCTGAGGGACTGAGAGGACAGTGGTGCCCTTGTAGTAACAGGTTAGTTGGGAAGGGAGAAGGGTTTAGAGGCCGCATGTGGTTCTCTAGGTGCTCAAGTGCAGCCCTCTGACTGAATCCAACCTTCACAGAACAAATCCCCTTAATAAAAGGATTTGTTCTGTAAAACTTGGTCTCAGTCCAAAGGCCGAACCTAAGGACCTACAAGGCCACATGTGGTCTCAAGGCTGCAAATTCCCCACCCCTGGTTTAGGCGAAAAGATAATGAATTCGGTCTTGAACATGCTGAATGTAAGACATCTACCGGACATACAATTCCAGGTTGTCTGAAGGGTAGTTGAAAATGCAAGACAGAAAGCCAGCAGAGAGGTCAGCAGCTGGATAGGAAGACTGGAGAATACTGAGATGATTAAAGGGGCACGTTCTCCTTTGGAGCCTACCCTGATATCTCCCTAATACCCAGACACATGAACACACAAATGATCTTTCCCTTCTCACATTTCTCCCATTCTCTCTGGACTTCGACACCTATCTGTTTCCCTTCTGTGCCATCACCATTTGTGTATTTGTCTTTCTCATGCTGACCTCTATTCAATGATCAGGTCTTTGAGAGAAAGGCATCACTCTATCTCCAGCCCTGAGCACAAGACCCTGCAGAAACCAGTTAGTCAACTAGCATTTATTAAGCATCTACAGTGCCAGGCACTGTGTTAAGAGTCGGGGATACAAAGAAAGGCAAAAGACAGTTCCTGTCTTCAAGTAGGGCACGATCTAATGGAGAAGACAACATACAACCAACCATGTATAACAAGATAAATACAGAATAAACAGAAATAATCACCTAAGGGAAGGCACTAGAATGAAGAAGGGTCAGGAAAGTCTTCCTGTAGAAGGTGGGATTTTAACTGAGACTTGAAGGAAGCCCAGAGGGGAAGATGAGGAGAAGGAGTGTTCCAGGCATGAGAACAACCTATGAAAACATCAGGAGTCAGGGAATGGAAAGTCTTGTTTGAGAAACAGCCAGAGAGCTGGTGTCACTGGATCCAAGGTTACATGTAGGAGGTGAGGGAGACAGGAAAGTGTAAGAAGGGTGGAAAGGCAGCTAGTGGTCAAGTAATCAAGAGCTTTAAAAGCCAAACCGAGGATCTTATATTTGATCCCAGAGGCAATGGGGAGCCAAAGAAGATAACATGGTCAGACCTGTGTTGTAGGATAAGCAATTGGATAGCTGAGTTTAGGATAGAATGAAGAAGTGAGGAGACTTGAGGTAGGGAAACCCACCAGCAGCTGCTACAACAGTCCAGGTGTGAGGTGATAGGGACTTGCCCCAGGGGGCGACAGTGTCCAAGGAGAGAAGAGGGCATATACGAGAGCTGTTAGAAAAGTGTAAACCACAGGACCTGACCCCTCATGCATTGCATGTGGGGGTGAAAGGGAGTAAGGAGTCATGGGTGACTGGGAGGATTTGCCATACCCTTGATATCAAGAGAGAAGTTAGGGGGAAGAGGAAGGTTTGGGGGAGAAAGAGAACAATTCAGTTTTGGACATGTTGAGTTTAGGACGTCTAAAGAATATCTAGTTTGAGATGCCTAAAAGGCAGCTGAAGATATGAGACTAGAGGCTGGAGAGAGTTTAGAGATGGGTAAGGCGATCTGAGAATCATCAGCATAGAAATGATAATTAAATCCTGGGGAGCTGCTGAGATCACCAAATGAAATAGCACTGAGGAAGAGACGAGGGCCCAGGACAGAGCCCTGGGAGACAAGTAGAGTGATTGGCAGTGACCTGGATGAAAAGCCAGCAAAGAAGACAGAGAAGCAGTCCGACAGGGAGGAGGAGAACCAGGAAAGAGCAATGTCAT